ACTTTTTTTTGGTTGGGTAAAAAAATTTGAAAAAATTCTGAAAATTGTTTTCAATAGGGTAGAGAAAGATACCAAAATTTCAGAAAAATCGAAAAGGGTCGGTGTCAAAAGTGGTCGATTTGGCATGGAATGCCCCATATAGTAACTGTTAACGAGATTATCAATTCTGCTTCTTGGGCTGTTACACACGTAACTTTTAGCAGACTGAACTGTATTGTGCAACTTTTAAGCAACCTGCTATCACTACATGACTGTCTAGAGTTTCGACTATCATCTAAATATTTACATGACAAAAATGTTAAAAAAAAAAAATTAATCTATTGTAGGTTCGAATAAATTTTTTCCCTGGGGACTTCCTTCTCCGTGCTCTCTCATATTTAATAGAATTCGTATCATTATATTTATATCTATCTATTAACATAACTGATAATTAGACGTATAATTAAATGGATGGAGATAACGATAGGTATTTACATGGGTACATGGGACTGTAGTGGATTCTCTGAAAATACAATGACAAGTAAATGACCAGTGAAATAGAAGTTTTGGTGGATATTGGATGACGCAATGCACTTGATAGACATAGAGAGTAGTAAACTGAATTCTATCAAGCGCAAAACCCACCATTGCCACCACTACCACCAAAGGGGTGTAATCAGCGAGCAAATCTGTTGCACGGTATCATACACCACAATTGCTTCCACAATCGTGAATCCCTGAAGTATACCACAATACCAGAGTGAATCAATGGTGGTTTCCCTATTCTCTTATTCACTCTCTCTCTCTTTCTCTCTCTCTTGGTCTTACTCTTGTTCTGTTTCTCCACCACAGGATACAAGTGGGTGAGATATTCTGGAGCAAGGTATTGGACTCCCGGAATGATTACCATTGGCCGTGATCTGGATGGTGCTCATCTTGTTGTTGGCCGGGCGCATCATCATGGCGATTTGCTACCGGCTAAAGCTAAACCTGAACATGGTGTTGCATATGTTACTCATGGCGGCGCTGAACACATGAAACACGACTTTGAAGTATATATTTTTTTTTGTTTTTATTTTTAATGACTTATCATATTTATAAAAAATAATACAACCGTTTATATTTGATGATTGTCATGAAACTTTTAGTAAATATAATTTTTTTTACTTTCAAAGTATAGAAAATTGATCAAATATCGGATGTAAGTAAGCTGTATTACTGAAGTTCAAAAAAATACTTTTTACGAAAATGAAGTTTTTTTTTTTTTTTTTCAAATATTGTCAGTATAACTACAATTTTTTATTCTGAGTATGTTCTATATTTAAAAAAAAAATTATCTCAATTTCAAGTACAGCTAATTAGTTACAACAGAACAATGATTAACTCCTTCAGATTTATATTTCAAAACAAAAAAAAGGATGAGTATAATTGTCTGCTTCGTTCACACTTTTTTTACAACATAAATCTACTAACAAGAATGTTTTTTAAACTTAATTTAAATTATATTAGCTTAGAACCGTATTAAAAAACATTCTTGTTAGTAGATTTTATAAAAATCTAACTATTGTATTTGTCCTCATGACGTAAATTTCCATAAATTTTGCTATATTTCGACCTAACTCGACGAACTGAGTCAGAAAATACATATGGTTTGAAAGTTTATATATGTATAAAGTTCAAAATTTTGAAATTTTAAAAATTTGATACTTTCACTACTTTTCCTTCAAATAACTTTTGAACGCGTCGAGTTATTCAATTTCTGTAAAATGCATTTGAAAGCTGAGAATTTAAGCTTCAATTTATGTGCTCAAATTTTTTTCTGAAGCAAAAAAAATTCATCTTAGGATCATTTTTAAGAAATTTTACTCTTGCAGTCATTTTGTCTATACAAAACTGACTGAAAAGTACTGAAGTACAATAATTCTTCTCTTTCTTCATTAAACGTTATTTATTTTTTTTTTTGTATTTAATCCTAGTAGTTTTTAATTTTATTCATCATGAAATCTACTTCCATTTCGGCTGCTAAATGGCCTTTTTTATTATTAATATTGTCGTATATGTAAAAAAAATTAATTTGTATTATTAAATAATTTGTAGTTTCACCTGAGAATGACATGAATGCTTATATCGAAACGTCGTGGTATCGAATTAATAAAATTTTAAATATGTCAAAATATTTGAATCGGGAAAGTTGGCTTAGACTTAATCAACCTTTTTAATTAGTGAAATCACCGATCTTCGAAATATATCGATGGTCTAATTAGCAATTTGTCTAACTCCATATTTTTTAGAGGGTGATTTTTTAACATTTTGATGTAGCCACAATCGAATTATAAATTATTTGAATGATTCAAACCTGAATATTATATCTCTATTAGATAATAATTATAGAAAATGGTTTTTTAAAGTGATAATAAATTTTTAACTAATTGTTTTTTTCGTACAAATAGAATATTCTCTAAAATGGAGTTAGACAATTTGCTAATTAGAACGTCGATATGCAAAATAATAGATTATAAGGTTAAGCCAAAGCGTATTTACTTTTAATATACACGACCCAAGACTTGAAGCAGTTGTGAACTCGTTAAAGTAGTTCCAATTATCACAGTATCGAGTAAGTCAATAAATATTAATTTTCTGCCCTCCGGCCGGAAAGTGGCAACTTTCTGGCCGCTGCGCTAAACAAAGTTGCCACATTCCGGCTACGTCGAGCAGAAAAATAGTATACACACCCTGGCCAGTAAAAAGTAAAGCCTCAGACCACATGTTTGTCAACCTCGGCTTCGGCTCGGCCAACAATTACATGTGGTCTGAGACTTTTCTTATTTTACTGGCCTAGGTATGTAATATACTAATTGTCTGTACCATGAAACAGTTGATTGAGAATTACTATAAATGGCTGAGCAAATTATGAACAATCTGAAAGTAAGTGATCGTCCTTTTTCTAGACTCAGAAATTACCGACTTGAAAGACGGAATAACTCAATATTAATCATAAATCATGAGTAACATCTGACTAACATTTAAGATACATAATAATTTATCTAAATTAATAGATCATTCTCGATAGAGCCATGTAATTTTCTTAGTATAACCTTTTATTGATCTTTAATAAATATTTTAATTAATATAACAATCAAAAAGAGGAGATGATTTAAGATAAGCTATTCTTACTAATAATATTTATCGAAAGTGAAGCATCCATATCAGTAGAGTGATTACGTCATTTCATTACGTTCAATGTATCAAGGAATAATATAGGTAACAAAGTTGATAGTATAGCTGATGTGTAAAAATTTCGATTAAATGAAACATCGAATACCTTTTATTTAGAAAAAATCATTGCTCGCTAATTGATATTTGATATTTTTAAGACTATTGTCAATTTTAAAAAATTGAATAAATGAATTAAGGCCGTAGAGGAGGGGGAGGGGGGACAAATGGGTTACTCACGGGAGTGCTTTATTTCCGGAAATGCTTAAGCACTAAAAAAAACTATGGTGCAAATTTTACTGAAACCTACAATTTAATATTTTTAGAGCTTATTTTTCAGAGTCAAGCCATTAAATTATTTAAATATGTTTTTACAATATTTGGTTCGTAAATAAATAAATATTTTAAATTATTTAAAAAAAAAATTATACGTCACCTTGAAATTACTCGAATGTTTTTCTAAAATTTTTTCAATTGTAAACAAATAAATAGTTAGGCTTTATTCAATTCTTAAATGTCTTAATTTAAGGCCGCACATTTACCTTGTAAAGCAAACACTGTTAATTGCCATAGTTTCTCCCATTACCGTTCATTATTGTGATTAATCACAATTTACAAATATATTTTTAGATCTTAATGCCAGCGGAGTTTCATTGGATACCATCAAGACATGGTCAAATACCACCTGGAGCTGTAGAGGGCGGCAGAACTAGTAATGGAGAAGTATTATTTGTCGGTCGCGCTCATCATAATGGAACTCCTTGTGTAGGGAAGGTAAATATTTGAAGCATAAATAATTCATTGATTGATTAAGAAAACGATATTTTTTTCTATTTTTAATTTGATAGATTCATCCTAGTCATGGAAGTCTTTACATTCCCTATAACGGCGAGGAAATTCCTTACAAAGAGTACGAAGTATTGGTTCAGCACTAATTTTACTAAATTATTTAAGATGTGTTCTTTGAATGCTAACGAAAACTTAGATGAAAAAATAAAGTTTTATAAAAAGTGAATAGAGAAAAAAAAATAACATAAAATGAATAAAATTCAATTAATTCATAGCTCTATTTCCGAGGATAATAAAATAAAGTAATTTTAATGGAATTCATTAGTCATAATGAAGAAAATCGATTAGTATGCAGAAAAACCCAATTTATTAGAGGTTTGTGGTGCGAATAAAGGGGGGCTGAGTGTGCGAATAAACTCAAAGCCTCCAGGGCTTCGTATTAAAGCACAAGTTTACCGCTGTACATACATCGATAATACATACATATACATGTATGATACATATTGCGTTTTCAACTACTGTTACTCCTACTGCTACTGTTACATCTACGGCTCAGAGCTCCTATCCCTCTTTGTGCTGTGATATAATCACAGGATTGTTCACGATTTAAGACTCTATTTTCGAACACGATTGCACAATAAGCTCTTTCGCCCGTGTTACTTTGTATTGAGCCTGGTTTAAAATAACGCTCTAGATAATTTACGCTCTCCCTTTGATTATTTTATTCCACACTTAAGTATGCTACATATCCAAAAAGTGTTCTCAGATTGCTTATTTACTGTACGCATTAAGGTTTAGAATAACAAACAAGTTTTCGTGTTGGGGTGAATAAAGAAAAATGTGATAAATCCAAAATTGCATGTCTTATACACTCATTTAATTGTTAAAATGGTCTGTTGAATCGTCCGGTGGAAAAATTTTTTGATGTGGCCTGATAGATCCATATATAGAATGATGTGAAAATTTTGCCGTATTAGGTCATATATGAGCATACCCGGTCCGATATGACTTGATAAACTCATATCTGATTTGATATGGTCATCTGTGACGATATATAATTTTTTGATCCAAGGTAGTGTTGAATATCTCCAACTAAATCAATAATTGTTTTATTCTTATGTATGGCTTTATATGACCAGATCACGACATATTTTATCATATCAGACCATATTTTTATTGCAAATTTTATTATTTTTTTTTTATTATGATTCTTTTTTTAAACTAAATGGGTAATTTTTGTGATTTTAATTTATTTTAATAGTTGAATACCTTCAAAAAAGGTTGAAAAAATTATTTTACACACTCTAAACTCTTCAAAGACTCTAACTCTCACAAACTCAAATTTTTATAATAATTCTAGTGGATATTTGAGCTGTAAAATAAAAATTAGATTTGGTGAGGCTTCATGCTTATACCAATCTAAGATTGACAAAAACTTGAGATTCATTTTTTTATCCAATATTCAAGCATATAAACATATAAAAGTATTGAATGATCGCAACATACAAGATATTTTCGAATGTTCTCTGTACCAAAAACTCACTTTTTCAATATACGAAATGTTATTTTCATGTTCAGTTCGATTATACTACTGTCGCCATCTTTTGGAATTCTTAAGGAAATACAATCAATAATGAAAAATATAATTTACTAGGTTAATATTAATTTTCATTATTACATATATTCTTACCCTTACATAAGAACGTATATCACTAAGAAATTAAAATGTTTGCTGGAAAAGTAGAAATTGTAATGAAAATACTTGCCGAATTATGTTATTTATAATAAAATAAAAAATTACCAAATTGTGTCTTTCAAATCAAAAATATAAGGAAAAAAATTTTAAAAAACAAATTATTGATTATTTGATAAATTAATGGTGCTTATTTATTTCATGTCGTAGTTGAACAAATAATTTTTACAAACAATTAACGAGCATATTTATTACATTTTTATTTCACATGGATACAACTATAACAAAAGTATATCTACTATGCAGATCCATAGCCAAAAATTTTTAATCCATTTAAAACTTTTTTATCAAGCATATTTATGTCATAAATATTTCCAAAACTTTTTATAAATGACATTTTATATTTTAATTATAAAAATTTTTCTGACATCCCTGGGGCGTCACACTAACATACAGGCGACAAAAAATTTGTCAAAACGTAAAAACATGTATAAAACATCGTTTTTTATCGAAGTAAAGTATTAAAAAAAGTAACAGTGTGCCCCTTTCTGATAATAGAGAAACACCCTGAACGAGAAAGCGTTGGTGGGCACGTGACCGTTGGCACATTATTCTCATAGCTGGCACGTGTCTTCAGTAGGTTCTATTGTTACTAGCCGAATGGTTCAGGGTCGCGGTGTTTAATATGTTCGATCGGTAAGAGTATATATGTAATGTGATGAGTATGAGAGAGGGGTTTATGGCAGAGGGATGAAATGAACATTTGGTTTAAGTTGGTGGAGCTAGCCGAGCATGTATAGTACATATATCCGTGAATGATTCTCTTTTGATCAATTTCTTTGGCACACGCATTTTGTATACGATCATCACACATACATCCATACACACATGGATATAAGGGTAAAGTATATTTTGTGAGCGTATGATGAGAGGGGCGAATATTCGATGAAAGAAAATAGCAACAGCTGCTTGGCACGAGCCATTGTCCAGGATGTATTGTGAACAATAACTTGTGTAGCTCGTCGCCATAGAATATCATTTTTTGCTTATATAATTTGCACTATTTTTTCCTCTCTGATGAATTGAATGCAGTGTTTGGTACAGTAAATAAGCCTTTATGCATATGTGTGCGTATGTGTATGCGTTGACAATCAGATAAAATTCTTCGTCTATTAAATTAAAAACTGTTGACTCTAAATAGATACTTGTTTTGTTATAAATATTGACTGTTCTAGTTGCGAAATTGGTAGACTTGTCCTGGCTCAGTTGGAACATATTTATGCTTGATGCGAGCTCTCGGACAGAATTGTAGAGATTAGACACTAATTAATGATGCCTTCAGCCGTCACCGTGACGTTGTTAATAATCAGCTAGATGATTGTCAAGTGGAGTGTATTCATCAACGATAGGGGTTGATTTTAAAACACATTTTTCAGTAACCAGAATATTAGTGGGGCTGGATCTACATATGTAAATAAATTTACATATTTTTTGTGGAATACATTTTAAAATGGAGATGAAGGCTTTTAACACTGTAAAAAATTAACGAAAATTTGAGATTTTTTATTTTGCCAAGGATTTATGGTATTGTTATATATTTCTTTTGTATTTAATGAAGTCATAAAAACTTAGTAAAGAAAAAACATGAACTCACTATACAAAAAATTTTATGAATCCGATCGGTTCATTCTGATGAATTTATATACCTATAACTTAACAATCACCTACACACTGATAGAAGAATTTGTTCATACTTAATAGATGATTTATTAACAGTTTGAATAAATAATTTTTGATCATAAGATGCTTTTAAAAATATTTATTAAATACAAATTGTTAACAGTTAATAGTTAGAAATATTTATTAACAGTTAATGAATTTTTTCTTAGAACTTTGAAAATGAAAATGTCAATAAAAATTCTACTTTGACACTTTTATAACTTCATAACTTTAATAGGTAATAAAATCCAATTAGATTAGGTGCACTAACAGTTTCCTGATAAAAAAATAGAAGAAATAAAATGAATAATAAAATAATGGTTGCAACTACAGAAATTTGTTTTGCAGTGAAAATTATGAGAGTATCGCATAATTATCTAAATACAAGGAGAAAAAAATGATGCTACTGGAGCTATTTATACTAGTAGCTACTCGTAGATCTCTACTACAGCAAAATGTATTTCTACAGTAGCAATACTGTTTGGCTCTGGTAGCAATATTTTAGATTGCTGGGAGAGCTTTACTACTTTTTCAACGGCGTCCTCTAACATAACCACATACACACATACCAATAGCGAATACAGTCGAGTCGCGTTATAAGCCCTCCTTGTGTCTACCTCTTATTAACGCGAGTCTGGTTAAAAAACAAAGAAAACAAGCCGGACTCATAACGCGATTCGACTGTAATTCAATAATAATATTTGTCCATGATAATTCCTAGATTATTTATAAAAAAGCTATTGAAAATTAAATTTATCAATTAAATAATTTCAAATTTTTTTGTTAATTTTTATTAAATAAATAAATTAAATTAAAGAATATAAAAAAGGTTAATAAAAAAATTAGGATAATTATCACGAACGATTATTATAAATTATAATTCGAATGAAAATATGATTCTATATTAGTGATAGGTAATATAGAATTTTAATAATAGATAATAGAATTTTAATAATATAAAATTAGAACACTGTCCGTTATTAGTGATAAATAATAAGTATAATTATAGCAGAAGTTCGACAATATAATCGCCCAGCGGAGCGGGCGGGTCACAGCTAGTAATTTATAAAAATAACAGTAAAAAAACGGTTAAAGTTTAAAAAAAAAACTGTTTCAGAGCAATTTATGTGATTTTATTTTTTTTAAACTAAGTTCAAATTTGTTCAAAAATAAAAAAAAAAGACCATTCGGCAGTCGAAATGGAAGTAGATTTCATCATAAATAGAAAAAAATCATGGATTTCGAGTAAACCGGCGACTAAAACCTTATTTCACTTTAACTCGTTACTTGTTTCCTTACTGCTGGTATACAGTAAAGAAAAAAAAACGAGTGCAATAGCAAATTTCATCATTGGCATAGCGGAATAGGACATAATTTTGGGACTACACATATGATATGGTACTCAAATTGAAGCTTATTTAAAGAGCTTTCAGATGCAATTTACAAAAACTTAAAAGAAATCAGTGGAATTTTACTGGTTCGCCAGTGGAAGTTCACTGATTCCAACCCGTGAGTGCAATGTCACTGGCGAATCAGTGGATTTCACTGATTCAACCAGTGGAGATACTAGCGCGCATGCGCGCAGATATTTTGTTCACTGATTGAATCAGTGGATTTCACTGATTCACCAGTGAAATTGCACCACTGGTTGGAATCAGTGAACGTCCACTGGTGAACCAGTGAAATTCCACTGATTCCTTTTAAGAGAG